GGGGGGGGTTTGTTTTTCTCTTTGATCCTGCTTTGAGACTAAATTAAATCAAGTAAATTCGTTTTTTAAAAATTTTAACAGACCAGAAATAGCCAAAAAAGTGAAAATGTTTCTTGAAATTGAAAAACATAATTTCAGCATGAAGCTGCATCTGAGGAGACAAAGCAACCGATTTCAGGAATTGTTTGGATTTGTTGATTCTTTTTTTTTTTTTAGTTTGATGTTTGGTCGTTCTTTCTTTTTCATTTTAACATCTTTCGTAAGAAGAAACAGTGCTGATAAAGTAACTCATTTATGCTTGTATCAGTACACACTGTGCTCTTGTTTTGGAGTGTGGACATGGCGCGTGGAATTAGGAGAGGCAGGAGTGAATTGGAACAATGAAAGAAATCACTGAGGAAATGCTGTGCTTTTGGGAATGATTTCTTTACACTCATCTTTACCCGCTCAAAGGAAACATTGTCATCCACAAAAAACTTAACTGCAAAAGAGAAGTGCCTTCTTTGGCAATTCTGTTCTTCCATTGGAGAAAAAAAAAGTTTCTGCATTTATTTCCTATACATGTGAAAGTGAAATGTACCCTGTTTTCTACTAATCTATCGTCAGAAGATGATGATTGTTAGATCATGAAATGCTTTTAATTATACAGAAAGATACCCTTTTGTGTTTTAAAATAGTCTTGAGGTTAAAGTTACAGGAACTGGGGGTCCTTGATGTTATCAACAGTTTTCCAAGAGATTAAAAATGTCAAAGACATAAACTTGTGTGCTCCTCAATGGCAATACCCTTAGTAGATGTAGCTCTGTTGAAGTCAGCTCTCACCCAGCTGAGTAAAGCTAACTATGCACATAATATTATGTGTAGTGCACACAGTATTATATATCTAAAGCACATTACATTGAACCTGTAGTGATTGAAATTGCATGCCTATTGTGAATGATCAACACAGAAACAATTGCATTGTCAAGAAAATACTGAACAAGACATTGAATTGATACAATGTTTCAAAAGTTGGGTTTTCCCCCGTCTTAGGCCCTATAGTAGTTTAAAGCTTTTTTAAAGAAACAAAGCCAATGCATAATGCCTCCTGCCAATATTCATCCAGTTGTAGGCCTGTGACTAATTGAAAATTAGAAGTCTAATGGAATAAGAAGTCTATAAGATCATGGCCGACAGAAACAGACACAAGAGAGCTCCTAGGTGCAAGGTGAAGGTCGCAGCGCTGTTTTCAGGGTCAGTAGGGTTGCTGTCTTCATCGTTCGAGGATACAGGTTTGTAGGGAGCTTCTTCAGCTGCATAAGAGAGAGGAGGTACGAGTGAGGTTGGGTGTAATATTGATCATATCCTCACACACACTCACACATTCACTCACTCACACACTCATACTCACACAATACAATACACACACACAGACACATACACACACACACACTAAAAATATATCGTAATAATATATAATATATGACCTTTAATACATACATGTTATAGTTATAGATCTAGTAATACATGTGTTGATATTAATAATGATATAATAATAATTACCCAAAGGAAACCAACTACTATGGATAACATCATTCTCGTCATTTGTACAGGTTGCTTCCCTTTGACACCAAAGAGTGTAAGAAGAGGACCTTTTTATTTTGGGAGTGCTTATTTAGGCCACATATGGCCTAAATAAGGTAAGGGAGGGGGGTTTAGCTTATTTAGGCCATATGTGGCCTAAATAAGGTCACCTTTTTATTTTCTTCTTCTTCAGTTTGTTGCCTCATTTTCACCCCAAAAAATTTCAAATTAAAGCAACAAAATACTGCCTACGAACATATTATCCAAACACGAGTCCATATTGTTCACCTATTCGTTTTCTCTGTTCTTGGTACTTCGAGAGTATTGAATACATATACTTATTGTCGGAAGACCAGCATTTCACAACAAACTAAGAAGAGGTTTGGTTGTTCAAAAACTAAAATTGTATGTCTCGTACACCAGGTGCCAAACTGGCTGCAGTGTGGAGAGAGAGACAGGCAGACAGAGAGAGAAATAGACAGAGAGTAGAGAGAAAGCGTTAGAAACTCTCTTTCTCTCTCTCTCTCTCTCTCTCTCTCTCTCACTCTCTCTCTCTCTCTCTCTCTTTACTCTCTGTCTACAGAGTGTAGAGACAGACAGAGAGTAGAGGTATAGCGAGAGAGAGAGGGGGGAGAGAGAGAGAGA